AATGGAGAGTTAGAGGTATTGGGAAGATGGAGGGAATATTTTGAGGAATTGTTAAATGTTGATGAAGATAGGGAAGCTGTGATTTCGTGTATAGGGCAAGGAGGAATAACATCTTGTAGGAGTGAGGAAGAGCCAGTTGTGAGTGTGGGGGAAGTTCGTGAGGCAGTAGGTAAAATGAAAGGGGGTAAGGCAGCCGGGATTGATGAGATAAAGATAGAAATGTTAAAAGCAGGTGGGGATATAGTTTTGGAGTGGTTGGTGCAATTATTTAATAAATGTATGGAAGAGGGTAAGGTACCTAGGGATTGGCAGAGAGCATGCATAGTTCCTTTGTATAAAGGCAAAGGGGACAAAAGAGAGTGCAAAAATTATAGGGGGATAAGTCTGTTGAGTATACCTGGTAAAGTGTATGGTAGAGTTATTATTGAAAGAATTAAGAGTAAGACGGAGAATAGGATAGCAGATGAACAAGGAGGCTTTAGGAAAGGTAGGGGTGTGTGGACCAGGTGTTTACAGTGAAACATATATGTGAACAGTATTTAGATAAGGCTAAAGAGGTCTTTGTGGCATTTATGGATTTGGAAAAGGCGTATGACAGGGTGGATAGGGGGGCAATGTGGCAGATGTTGCAGGTGTATGGTGTAGGAGGTAGGTTACTGAAAGCAGCGAAGAGTTTTTATGAGGATAGTGAGGCTCAAGATAGAGTATGTAGGAAAGAGGGAAATTATTTCCCAGTAAAAGTAGGCCTTAGACAAGGATGTGTGATGTCACCATGGTTGTTTAATATATTTATAGATGGGGTTGTAAGAGAAGTAAATGCAAAAGGCGTGGAGTTAAAAGATAAAGAATCACACATAAAGTGGGAGTTGTCACAGTTGCTCTTTGCTGATGACACTGTGCTCTTGGGAGATTCTGAAGAGAAGTTGCAGAGATTGGTGGATGAATTTGGTAGGGTATGCAAAAGAAGAAAATTAAAAGTGAATACAGGAAAGAGTAAGGTTATGAGGATAACAAAAAGATTAGTTGATGAAAGATTGGATATCAGATTGGAGGGAGAGAGTATAGAGGAGGTGAATGTATTCAGATATTTGGGAGTGGACGTGTCAGCGGATGGGTCTATGAAAGATGAGGTGAATCATAGAATTGATGAGGGGAAAAGGGTGAGTGGTGCACTTAGGAGTCTGTGGAGACAAAGAACTTTGTCCTTGGAGGCAAAGAGGGGAATGTATGAGAGTATAGTTTTACCAACGCTCTTATATGGGTGTGAAGCATGGGTGATGAATGTTGCAGCGAGGAGAAGGCTGGAGGCAGTGGAGATGTCATGTCTGAGGGCAATGTGTGGTGTGAATATAATGCAGAGAATTCGTAGTTTGGAAGTTAGGAGGAGGTGTGGGATTACCAAAACTGTTGTCCAGAGGGCTGAGGAAGGGTTGTTGAGGTGGTTCGGACATGTAGAGAGAACGGAGCGAAACAGAGTGACTTCAAGAGTGTATCAGTCTGTAGTGGAAGGAAGGCGGGGTAGTGGTCGGCCTAGGAGGGAGGGGGTAAAGGAGGTTTTGTGTGTGAGGGGCTTGGACTTCCAGCAGGCATGCATGAGCGTGTTTGATAGGAGTGAATGGAGACAAATGGTTTTCAATACTTGACGTGCTGTTGGAGTGTGAGCAAAGTAACATTTATGAAGGGGTTCAGGGATACCGGCAGGCCGGACTTGAGTCCTGGAGATGGGAAGTACAGTGCCTGCACTCTGAAGGAGGGGTGTTAATGTTGCAGTTTAAAAACTGTAGTGTAAAGCACCCTTCTGGCAAGACAGTGATGGAGTGAATGATGGTGAAAGTTTTTCTTTTTTGGGCCACCCTGCCTTGGTGGGAATCGGCCAGTGTGATAATAAAAATAATAAAAAATACTGAAAAGTGGTTATCAACCCCTTGTTCCTTCTATGGGTCATCCTACCTTGGTAAGATAATACCAGTGTAGTAAAGTGAGCCGTTTAGGAAAAATTTTCATTGATTCAGTCTTTTGAAATACAGTAGGCCTCCCCTTCTATTACTCCTCCAGCTACTGCATTGCTGCCAGTCTTCAATTCATTTTTTGTACCTCTTTCCACCTTTCACTCAAATGTAGCCAGTGCAGTGGGAGCTTGGCTTCCTATTGTAAACATTCACCGTACCTCAATGTTTATTACTCCATTTTCAGTATTGATCACTCTACCTATCTTTTGATGTTAACCTTGGCACCAAACAAGGAACACTAGTGATAATGGAGGTATACACTTTTTTTTTTTTTTTTTTTTTTTTTTTTTTTTTTTTTTTTTTTTTTTTTTTTTTTTTTTTTTTTTAAGAAAATGGAGTGGTGTGTAGCAAATGGTAAGAATGATCTAGCAGCACCAGAAATTTCTTGCATGTTTGTGGCGAAGTAAGGCCACATTAACCATCTCCGCACACTTTCCAAGGAGAAAATTGTGTAGGAAAGGTGTGATTGACTGGAGTGAAGTTATTGTACACTATTCATTAGTGCATATTGAGCCTGCTTATTTTCTCTGGAAGGAACGCCTTGCCCATTTTCTGTGGAAGGTATAAACGGTGAACTGCGCCAATCACCACTTTTCCTCAGGTCTTACTTCAGCAGGTTTTATTTAGGTTTTATGTACACAACATACAATTTTTTTTGTTTAAGTGGTACGATTTAACCTAGTGAAGTTGAACACTTGACTTACTGTTTTATGAGTATCTAACTCTTGCTACATCCAACTAGGCATAGAGAGCACCATGAACCCTCTTCACACACTTCTAGATCAGCAGGGAGGAATATTGACAATTGATGAATTAAAAATCTTAAAAGTTGGGTTTCTCAAGGTGTCATGGAATATGACTCATATTTTTTCTGAAGTTGTATTCATAGTTCATTGCATTTTCATGAATTATGAATAAGCATAAGGTGGGGACTTACTATATGTTCATCGTGTATAAAAGAATATTACTTGTATAACTTATTATGTATCAGGTTCATTGATGTATGTATTTTTAACTACATAGCAAGCACATGAAAAATTGAAATAGCATGTTTAGTGATGCCAGAATTCTTTTTCTATTGTATTGGAATAAATTCAGTTTATTTCACTTTTCTATATGTAACAATCATTTTATCAGTTGTAGATTCTGTTGTATTATGTGCTTTATTTTTATAGTATATCTGCAGCCCAATCCCAGACCAGGCTTCTTGGTTGATGATTTGATCAACCAGGCTGTTGATGCTAGCTGCACATAGTGTAATGTAGGCCTCACATCCTGGCTGCTCAGGATTTAATTTGAGGAATTTGCCCGGTTTTCTCTTGAAGACAGCTAAGGGTCTATTGGCAATTACTCTTATATGAAGAGAGGATGTTGAGAAATATTGGCCCTTTTATTCTAAGTTCTCTTAACCCTTTCAGGGTCGCCAGGCCTTCTCAGAGACTTGTTCTCAGGGTCGCCAAAATTTAAAAAAAAGAAAAATTATTTTTTCATATGAAAAGATAGAGAATCTTTTCCCGATCATAATGACACCAAAAGTATGAAATTTGATGGAAAACTTAGGGAATTATGCTCTCACGAAGTTAGCGGTCTCGATGATGTTTACTCATCGGCGATTTTGCCTACTTTGAGTCTTTTTTTCGGCCAATTCCAGTGTACTTGTCGACAAAATTCATAACTATTTTGCTAGAACTCCATTTTTTCTACCGAATGAGTGCAAGAAACCACTCATTTACCGATTTCAAGTATCCAATACAGTGGTCAGAATTTAGCAATTTTGCCAATTTCACACAAATTTCAAAAGATGCCAATTTCCGAATAGGGTCCAGAATAAACAAGAAAGACATTCCTGGCACTAAAATAATATTTCCTCTGTTCATTAGTCACATCCCCATGCCCCTCTTACATTCTTTTGCTTTCCACTTTGAATTTTTATTCTCACAAAAAAATAGAAGATTTACTGTTATGCAGACTACTGTATTGGTGTAGAAATGGTATAAATAATATCAGTACACTTGTGAAAGAATATTAGACTCACCAGTTGATGTGTATTGGACACACAGCATGATTTGTTTACTTTTGAACTTTGGTAAAAATCGAACATTTCTGCTACTTTGAGCTCAGTTTCAAGGTAGTTTTCTTTACAAAACCAGTCAAAATCATCTCAATTTCTGTAATATGTCTTCCATTCTATAAAATGAGACCAGGAAAACTAGAATACAACAATAAATACCATATGAAAATACAGTGCAAAGTAGCTGTTTTAATCCAAAAACACGGTCATGTTTTTTTTTCTCATTACGCACTGTGTGCTGCAGGATTTTTTTTATACTGCGCACACTGACCACATAGACACATTCTTTCATATGTAGGCCTACCAGCTTTCTCTCACTAGATTTGAGGGCGCTAGAATTTTGGCGTACTAGTACATCAAAAACCCTGGTGCGTAAGCCGTACTAGTACAGCCGAAACCCTGAAAGGGTTAATAAACTCATTGCATCACTCCTCATTGAAGGTATTTTGCACTGTCTGCTGAGCCTTTTGCTCTTGTAGGGAGTAATATCAATTTTGGACTAAATACTATACTTTGTACAGAGATATGCTTTCCTAGGATGGTAAATCAGTACCTGTAATTGGTAGTGACACTTGCAGTGTGACACACATGTAAAGGGTAAGAAAAGAGCTGTTATCCCATTCAACAGTATAGGTGCCAATGGCTGTTGCTTATACTTCTCGTGCCTTAATGAAGTGTATCAGAAATTCACTTACAATTGAGAACAAGTGGAATTACTTAAGGAATTAGGTATAAAATAAATGTAACTCTTATGATTGAGTGTGATGTTGGTACAGTAGAACAAGTGTTTTTAAAATCACAAGGACAGATATTTAAAATATTATTCCAACACTTGTGTAGACGCCATTGCTAGGCATTAGAATTTACGTTGGCCTGCAAGCAGAGATGTTGATAATGTTTTATATGAATGGTTTTGCCAGCAGCACATGGAAGGTGTTCCTCTTTCTGGGAGAATATTGATAGAACAGGCAACGTATTTCCACCAACACCACAAAATTGATACCAAAAATGACAACACTCATGGGTGGCTGCACAGATTGAAGAAGCGCCACGGTATTCTTCAGGTAAAAGCTGCTGGCGAGAAAGCATCTGAAGACAAGGTTGGTGCTGCAGAATATTTAGATGAATTTACTAGGTTGGTAGAAGAACATGATTAAACTCCTGACCAAATATATAATGCTGATGAGACAGAATTATATTGTAGAGGTATTTCAAGATATTCTCTTGTTGCCATCATAAGAAAGCAATGACCGGTATGAAAGAATGTAAAGAGTAACTGTTTTGACCTTAGTTAATGCAGTTGGCACTCTTAAGTGTAAACTTAGAGTCATTGTTAATTGTGCCATCCTACAAGCGCTTGAAAGTATAAAAATGTTGCCTATTTGGCAGATAAGGCTGTTTGGATTAATAGAGCGCTAACCATTGATCAGTTTACTTTACATTTTACAAATGAGGCAGGGAGCCTTGCAAGAACAAGGGGCTCCCTAAAGGTTGCAGGATTCTGCTACTGCTTGATAATTGCTCTGTTTATCCACCTGATGAACAGTTGGTTTTATGATATGTTTTTACAGCCTTTATGCCACTTAACTGTATGTCTCCTTACCCAGCTCATGGATCAGGGAGAAAAATATTAAAGACAAAAATTGAATAAAAGCTATGGAAGTGCCATAGACAAAGTTGAGAGCCATGTGATGAGGTGACTTCAACTCTGTTGAACACTTTATTATAAAATATGGCCTGCAAGTATATGCATCAGTGATGATGAAGAGATAGAGAGAAGGTAGAAATGAAAAAAAAAAAAATATGGCAAATGTCCTTGTAAAATGATTCCTGGTGTAACTGATGACGATATTAGGAAAGTGATTGAATGTTATAAAGATGCTTCTCTCTATAAAATACTAAGAAAGCTAATATTGATATAGTAATAAATCCAGTTATTGAAGAAAGTGTTTAAACTGTCATTGATGATAACTCAATCGATCAAATTAAATGTGGCATAACATTGAAATATTGTATATCCCATTTAGATCAATTGTTACAATTTCTACAAGTCAAACTCACACAGTGATGGTATTAAGCAGCAAGTTCTAACTGTGGGTATGATAAAGGAATGCAGCAACCTGGTGAAACAAAAAGGAATGCAGCAACCTGGTGAAACAAAAAGGAATGCAGCAACCTGGTGAAACAAAAAGGAATGCAGCAACCTGGTGAAACAAAAAGGAATGCAGCAACCTGGTGAAACAAAAAGGAATGCAGCAACCTGGTGAAACAAAAAGGAATGCAGCAACCTGGTGAAACAAAAAGGAATGCAGCAACCTGGTGAAACAAAAAGGAATGCAGCAACCTGGTGAAACAAAAAGGAATGCAGCAACCTGGTGAAACAAAAAGGAATGCAGTAACCTGGTGAAACAAAGAAATTTGACAAACTGCTGAAAAACAAAAGAACTGAGTATACTGGTGAAACATGAAGGAATTCAGCAAACTGTTGAAACAAAGGAATGCAGCAAACTACTGAAGTTTTAGCATAATCATGTGAAGCAGCCTACACTCTTGTTGGTATTCAAGAAACTAACAGCACTTGCTCTTGTAGTTGATACTGTGTCAAGCTTCCGTAATCAGTCCAGCTGCATTGTGTTTTCATATTCAACATGATGTTGCACCAGTACCCATGCTTGATATTGAAGATTTAGATGAAGAGCTTGATGCAAGTACTGATATCTGTATTTCAAGATAGATTCTACAACAGTGCAGTTGCATCATCATGTTCTTAAACAGTGATGTGGTTGCATAATTTTGAAATCAATGTGATGTAGTTGCACCATGTTCTGCTCATCAAGACATAGAACTCAAGAAAAAAATTAGTACAGTAAATACTTTGTGTATAAAACATTGGTAAGTAGCAACTTTTATCTAGTAATTTAATTTCTTGTATTTTTTTTTTTTTTTCTGTAGAATATTTTTTTTTACCAATTTTTCTTTAATGATAATGCCTCACTCGCCCCTAAGGTATAGTTTGTTTCACAATACTGTATTTTTTTTTTTTTATTGAGGCATGGGTTGTGTGTGGTGTGCGTGTTTGCTTCTTATAATAGTGCACAGAAGTTATGAAGAATAAAATATTTTCCAAAACTTTCACTCTGCAATTTTTTTTTTAACATGGAAATTTTTAACATACTGGTAATTTACTGCTAAAGAGAGGTGACCTAAGATAATAAATAAATTCACCATCACTTATTTCCTTGCTGTGTTTCCAGAAGTTTATTTAAATCACAATTTAAATGGTTTAAATAGCTGTAACATCCTCATCCATTTATTAAAATGAAGGCTCTGTACTTTCCACCGCCTCGGTGGGATACGGCTGGTGTGTTGAAAGAAAGAACTTAAATATGGCTAACTGGTTTCCTTCAAGCCCTTCATACTCTAACAGCACATCAAGTCTCAAAAACCACTTTGATCAAGCTCTCTCTTCCAAAGATCACCTTCTTACCCTCGTGACTTTTCCTGGGATATCCCTTTCACATCTTTCCATCTATCTTATGTTTGTGCACCCTCTTGGTCAACTTATCTTGCTCAGTCTTTTATAAAGGATAAAGCCATCTCAAGATGTCCTCTCCACTTCATGCTCCAGTTACAGTTGATAATCACTTTTTGTGCTGATTATGCTTCTGAAATTGGAGCTGTTGAAAAATGCAATGCATGGAGTGAACAATTTAGGGAAAAAATTGAGATTTGTTCCTGACACCTCGATAAAAATAATTTTTTTTTAATGCCTCAGAATTAATAAAACAATTTTTGACACCTTGTAGATGATGTCTGTTGATGCAGAAATGTGTTGAGATTGTTCATGTTGCCTTAATAGGCCTAGTCAGATGGTGTGAGGTTTAGATATGTGTATGGTGTTTTACTTTTTATTCAGTTATCCTGGATTAAATTTACATAATTGTATTGTATGATTTGCACCTGAAACCTATATAAAACTTAATAGTCTTGTTTAAGTAAGGCTTGAGGGAGGCTTGTGTTTGATGCAGTTAGCTTATATTTCTTCCAGAGAAAATGGCATGGCTAACACAATGCTAGGGACCATGCAGTTCTCTTGTATTTATTTTTTTTTTAAACCCAGACTTTCGTATGTATTCTTAGCACCTCCAGCATTACAACTGTTTCTTGTATTTTGTATCGTGGTATATATCCAGAGACAATACAAGGTGATAAACTGAACCAGAATGGAGTGATGATGGATGTTGGGTTGGCTGGTGTGGCCAGGCCAGTCAACTTGCACTGTCTAGCTTGGTCTTTGTCAAGAAAAGATGTGCTTCTCATCATACACATTGTTGAATGATCATGCACAAATTATGAATTCATTTGGTTAAAAACTAAACAATGGAAAAAAATGTACCAGGTGAGCCAGGCCCAAGGCTAGATTCTGGAAGTAACAAAACTCTGACCTCATCACAGGATCATTAAAGGTAACCTTAACTAAAATGTAAATATAAATCAATGGTTTATGACTAATCTTGACCAAACAAATGTGAACTATCTATTATTATTTTTTTTTTTTAACAAACCGGCTGTATCCCACTAAGGCGGGGTGGCCCAAGAAGAAAAACAAAAGTTTCTCTTTTTAAATTTAGTAATTTATACAGGAAAAGGGGTTACTAGACCCTTGCTCCTGACATTTTAGTCGCCTCTTACAACACGCATGGCTTACAGAGGAAGAATTCTGTTCCACTTCCCCATGGAGATAAGAGGAAATAAACAGGAACAAGAACTAGAAAGAAAATAGAAGAAAGCCCAGAGGGGTGTGTATATATATGCTTGTACATGTATGTATAGTGTGACCTAAGTGTAAGTAGAGTATGGAACACATTCGTACAGCATAATGATGTCAACGAGATAAAGACAGTTGATCAAATAAAAATGCTGGCCCACAGATGGCTCCAACTTCATCCTGTTCCCTACTTGTATGTCTCATAACAATATAAATGCTTTCAAATGAGCTGATGTAGGTAACAGCTCTTAGCTTGCCAATGAAGTTAGGAATCCTTAACCTGTAAATAACTTGCCAGTAAAGCTAGGGATCCTTAACCTAACCTTGTTAAACCCTGTGTAAAAAAAAAAAAGAGAGAGAGAGAGAGGGGAAGAGAGGAGAGAGAGAGAGAGAGAGAGAGGGGGAGAGAGAGAGAAAAGAGGGGAGAGGGGGAGAGAGAGAGGAGAGAGAGAGAGAGAGGAGAGAGAGAGAGAGAGGCAGAGAGGGGCAGAGAGAGGAGAGAGGGGGGGGCAGAGAGAGAGAGAGAGGCAAAGAGAGAGAGGAGAGAGAGAAAAGGGGAGGCAGAGAGAGAGGGGAGGGGGGGCAGAGAGAGAGAGAGAGGCAGAGAGGGGAGAAAAGAGGCAGGAGAGAGAGAAAAGAGAGGCAGAGAGAGGAGAGAGAGGCAGAGAGGGCAGAGAGAGAGAGAGAGGCAGAGAGAGAGAGGGGAGGGGGCAGAGAGGGGGGGCAGAGAGAGAGAGAGAGGCAGAGAGGGGCAGAGAGGGGAGAGAGGAGAGGCCAGAGAGAGAGAGAGAGGCAGAGAGGGGCAGAGGGAGAGAGGGGAGAGGAGAGAGAGAGAGGAGAGGGCAGAGAGAGAGAGAGAGGCAGAGAGGGGCAGAGAGAGAGAGAGGGGCAGAGAGAGAGAGAGAGGGCAGAGAGAGAGAGAGAGGCAGAGAGGGGCAGAGAGAGAGAGAGAGGCAGAGAGAGAGAGAGAGGCAGAGGGGCAGAGAGGGGAGAGGGGAGGCAGAGAGAGAGAGAGAGGCAGAGAGGGGCAGATGAGAGAGAGAGGAGGCAGGGAGAAAAGAGAGAGAGGCAGAGAGGGCAAAAGAGAGAGAGAGAGGCAGAGAGAGAGAGAGAGGGCAGAGAGGGGCAGAGAGAGAGAGAGAGGCCAGAGAGAGAGAGAGAGGCAGGAGGGCAGAGAGAGAGAGAGAGGCAGAGAGAGGGGAGAGAGGCAGAGAGGGGCAGAGAGGGGAGAGAGAGGCAGAGAAGAGAGAGAGAGAGAGAGAGGGGCAGAGAGAGAGAGAGGCAGAGGGGGAGAGAGAGGCAGAGAGAGAGAGAGAGAGAGAGAGGGGCAGA